TAATTGATATCAAGTTCTGTCATACTTGCAATTTTATGATGTATGGTGTTATATGACTTGCAATTTTATGATGAATTTTTTGTCTTTCAAGTGTACTGAGAGCTACTGAGCTCTCTCTTTCAGTGGTCAATGTGTCTTGGGAATTTAAGTTCATAATATCTTCAGCTTTGATGATTCTTTTGATCGTGTTTCTTTTGATGGGTTGGATCACCATGTGTTGTTGGAGATTACAACTTTTTTTATTATGATTCTATCATCCATTTTAACACAGGTGGACTTTGAGATTTGCTGGCCAGGAAGTGAAATTTCTAGGTGGTTCCTTCATAAGAGCGAGCCAGCGAGGGATCTTCAATAAGTATCAGCCTTCCTCATCGACCATTCTGTGGTGTAACAGCAGCTACTTGGGTCTTACCTTTTCTGTTGTCCTTTATTTTGGAAATGTTGACTGGGACTGGAAAGTCTGTTGCGATGTTGTTTACGCAAATCCTAATGGTATTGTGTTGCCAAAGACCGCGTGGCATGCAATCATGTTCGCCCATTTTATTGGTATTCTCATATTGAATGTTGCAGGCAAGTTGAACGTGAATGGCTCGATGTTAATATTGTTTATGTCAAGAATTCCAAACATGTGTTTGTGTTTATCGACACCTCCTTCGGTGAGTTCTATGGCATCTCTATAGATATTCTTTCTATTCGTGATGTTTCAAATGCCTTTGGCATATCAAAGTTAAGAAATGTGGCATCTTCTTCTGTATACTCGAGAGGCGGAGAGAGACTTGGTTTAAAGATAGAGGACAGCAAAGATGATATTAATGAGGAGTTTGAATCAAGTGGAAGGGAAGCTTCTGTATCAAACCAAGAAGAAGATGGGGAACCCTAAGAGATTTAGAAGTACTTAAATTTTATTAATTTTTTGATGTGTCATAGCTAATTATCACTCCCTAGATTGCATTTTGTGGTTTTTATTTTCTTTTTGTAATTTTTGTCCTCAAACTTTAGTTCTTGCGACCGTAGTCATTCCGTGTTTCTGTACTTAGAAAACTTTGTGCTCTGCTTCTAGACATAGAAATGGAAAAACATAATTAAGGCACGTATTAGTGAGTAAAGTCTTGTAAGTAAATGAAGTAAACTCACGTTTATTCCCTTGCTTGGTTTGCTTTTTTATTTCTTTGTTTGTTTTCTTTCTTCTGATTATTTCTAAATGGGAAATCTTTGGTTTCTGCATTACTGAAATAAGTGTCCCGTTTACTTCGCTGATTCGAGTTTAGAATTCGAGTTGAGATGTGACTTTATGTGAGAGCTTTTTACTGTCTGTAACTCATCTCGATGCAAGCTACTGCATGTCGTTGAAGAAGGTGTCGAGTTCAAGTACTAATTTAGTAAAACAAAACTGGGATGATCTCTATTTGAGTGATTCCTGTGGGGAGCTTTTTGAATTTTACGGCTGCCAAATGTTAAATGCAACTGCACGCAGACTTATCATGGATGAAGCACATTTTAGAATTTTGCGTCTTGCAGTTTTACGCGCGAGACATAAAATTCTTGACGTATGTCTCTGGTCTCCTTACATGATTAGATTTCTATATTTAGTGATCTTGAAAGGATTACTAAAATGACCATGATTCTTATATTCGTGTTGTATACAGGTCGAGTGTCGGATTCGTTGGCCAGGAAGTGAAATTCCGAGGTGGTTCAATCATAAGAGTGAGGGATGTTCAATATGTATCAACTTTCCTAATCCAACAAATCAGCAGTATAAAAGCAACTATTTGGGTCTCGCCTTTTCCATTGTTGTTTATTTCGATGGGTTTCCAGACAATCCTTATGGTGACCGGAGTTGGAAGATTTGTTGTGATTCAGTTTACACGTTCCCTAACGGTGTTTCGGTGCCCCGAACAGTATATCTGGAGTGCAGTCCTTTTTTTAAATATTCTGCTTCGTGTTTCAATGGATGTTGTGGTCAAGTTGACTCTAGTTGTGAAGATGGTTGCATTATTGATCATGTCACAACTTCCGACCACGTTTGCGTGTTTTTCGATGAGCACTTAATTACAAATGGATCAGTTGCAAGCCTCACTACGGCCTCCTTTTCCTTCAGCACATCAAAAACACATCAAGCTTTGAAGGTTAAGAAATGCGGGGTCCATCTCCTGCTTACCGAAGAGGCAGAGAGATTCGGTTTCGTCGTACCGCATAGTCGGAACTGGAACTCCAAGTGAAAGGAGAGGATATGAGAACAATCATATCATGAGAGAAACTTTTCAGTTATCGTTGGTTTTTATTTTATTTTATTTTTTTATGGGAAGCATTTGGACAAATTTTGATTAGGTGTTTTATCTGAAGTCATTTTTCTTTTTGTGATCATTGCTAGTAATTTTTTTTTTTCCTCAATGTAGTTTAAAAATTTTATAGACTAAAGAAGTGCAAAAAGATTTTCCTAATCTGGCCTAGAAGCAGCCTAAAGCAAGAAGGAATATTTATCTGAATGCATTTAGGGATGAGCCATTTCTTTATCCAACTTTTGAAGGCCAATTTTTTAAATTTATCTCCCAAAAATTTAAGATTTTTCATTTTGCCACTTACCGTCTAAAATGAAAAAAAGATTACCTCAAAATTCATCATAAGTTGTTAGACAATCCGCAGCTACTTTTGTTGGTCGTTTCAAGTGATTTAGGGTGTTTTGGCAGTTTACTAGGATGGCCATTGACAGAGAAACGAGAACAAACGACAGCAAACACAGAAGAACCCTTCCCAAAACAGGGGAAACAGAACAATAAAATTTGAAAACAGAGAAGCTAACTCCAAACGACCGCAAACTTAATGAAACTACAACATTAGACAAACCCAAAACAGCCCGAACCAACGCAATTAAAATTTGATAAACATGATCTTGTTTCTCTAAGCTGTATTACCGACCAAGTTAATTAATTAGATTACATAATTTGGGACGTATACGTTGAAAGAAACTTCACATTACTAAATTATTGTTATTATTATTATTATTATTATTGGAGGAAAATCTTAAAAAGAAAAATTGTAGAAGAAACATTAATGAATTAACATGCATATTGCTGGAAAGTAGTGATGAACGTACATATAATTAATACCAAGAATGAAGCTAGCCACCGACTTGAGGAAGTAATGAAATTATTGTGTGCCTAAGATATTACTTTTATTATGTAAAAATGGGCATTTAGTATGCAGTAATCTTAAGGATGTGAATGAGAATCTGCAATATTATTATATTTGGTATAAGAATTATAATGATTACATTATGGATGACTATATGTATTATGATTACTTATGTCTATTTTATTACTAATTTGTTACTTGTATGGTTAAGCTTTATGTGAACTCCTTATTATGATGTATGGTGTGATATGACTTGCAATTTTATGATGAATTTTTTGTCTTTCAAATGTACTGAGAGCTACTGAGCTCTCTCTTTCAGTGGTCAATGTGTCTTGGGAATTGAAGTTCATAATATCTTCAGCTTTGATGATTCTTTTGATCGTGTTTCTTTTGATGGGTTGGATCACCATGTGTTGTTGGAGATTACAACTTTTTTTATTATGATTCTATCATCCATTTTAACACAGGTGGACTTTGAGATTTGCTGGCCAGGAAGTGAAATTTCTAGGTGGTTCCTTCATAAGAGCGAGCCAGCGAGGGATCTTCAATAAGTATCAGCCTTCCTCATCGACCATTCTGTGGTGTAACAGCAGCTACTTGGGTCTTACCTTTTCTGTTGTCCTTTATTTTGGAAATGTTGACTGGGACTGGAAAGTCTGTTGCGATGTTGTTTACGCAAATCCTAATGGTATTGTGTTGCCAAAGACCGCGTGGCATGCAATCATGTTCGCCCATTTTATTGGTATTCTCATATTGAATGTTGCAGGCAAGTTGAACGTGAATGGCTCGATGTTAATATTGTTTATGTCAAGAATTCCAAACATGTGTTTGTGTTTATCGACACCTCCTTCGGTGAGTTCTATGGCATCTCTATAGATATTCTTTCTATTCGTGATGTTTCAAATGCCTTTGGCATATCAAAGTTAAGAAATGTGGCATCTTCTTCTGTATACTCGAGAGGCGGAGAGAGACTTGGTTTAAAGATAGAGGACAGCAAAGATGATATTAATGAGGAGTTTGAATCAAGTGGAAGGGAAGCTTCTGTATCAAACCAAGAAGAAGATGGGGAACCCTAAGAGATTTAGAAGTACTTAAATTTTATTAATTTTTTGATGTGTCATAGCTAATTATCACTCCCTAGATTGCATTTTGTGGTTTTTATTTTCTTTTTGTAATTTTTGTCCTCAAACTTTAGTTCTTGCGACCGTAGTCATTCCGTGTTTCTGTACTTAGAAAACTTTGTGCTCTGCTTCTAGACATAGAAATGGAAAAACATAATTAAGGCACGTATTAGTGAGTAAAGTCTTGTAAGTAAATGAAGTAAACTCACGTTTATTCCCTTGCTTGGTTTGCTTTTTTATTTCTTTGTTTGTTTTCTTTCTTCTGATTATTTCTAAATGGGAAATCTTTGGTTTCTGCATTACTGAAATAAGTGTCCCGTTTACTTCGCTGATTCGAGTTTAGAATTCGAGTTGAGATGTGACTTTATGTGAGAGCTTTTTACTGTAGCAAAAAAGTTAGATGTGATTGTTTGTGAGAGTTTTTTACTGTAGAAAAACTCGAATTCTAAACTCGAATCAGCGAAGTGAACAGGGCATAAGTAAACTCACATTAAGTTGATCACGAAGTAAAAGCCACTCAGATCCTTTAATTCAGATCCACATACTAAAGTGTACATCTTTGGCACTTTGTTAAATATATATATATATATATATATATGTATATATGGAGACACATTTATACATGTGTATATGTATGTATGTATGTATACATCTACTGCAATGTTTAACTTATGGGATCTCCACATGAACTTAATTCTCCACCAAATTTCTATAAAATGTAAGGTTTTGGTAATCTATTTAGAGTTGAGTATCAACTAGTGTGTTAACTAACATTACATTCGTTTCTCAATGAATCTTCGGAAGCTACCTTATTTATTCATACTGTCTTCACTTTGCGGATTCTTTCGATGGTTAGCCTCTCACCGTGTGATGAGGAGATGGAAGTATTTTTTTTTATTTTTTATTTTTTATTTTTTATTGTGATTTTGCTCCAGAGTAGCCTCTGCTGGGTTGTGGAAAAGGTGAGATTAATGAGTTAATTTGTGAGGGTGGCCATGGACAGAGAGAAAAAGAAGCAAAATAACAAAGCAAGGTTCAATTAGACAATAAAATAAGATTAGAGAGGAAAAACTTATCCATCACAAAGAACCAGTGAACCACTCGGAAACTCAATCTAGCAGTTGAAACAACTACATATATAAGAAGAAACACCATAATGATTTCCTAAGTAGGTTCATCACTGCAAGAACTGTCCATCATTTCATGATTTTTTGTGCTGTTTTTTTGCTTTTTTGTTTTTGTTCTTTTTTTATGTATCATTATTAGGAAAAACGACCGCAAACATGAAGAATTTAAAAAGCACAACAAAACACCAAGCGACAGCAAACACAACCCCCAACAAAAAACAGGGGAAATGGAGCAAAATAAAAGAGCTAACTCTAAACGACAGCAAACTTAATAAAACTACAACGCGACACAATCCAAAATCCAAATAACCCCTTACAAGACCAAGTGTTTTTTTGGTTTTTTTATCATAATCTTTTCTTTTTTTTTTTCCTGATCTATCATTAATCTTTCTTTGGTTTATTTTTGGTTTCTTTGGTTTATTTTCTAAAAATTTTTTATTGTAAAAATTTAAAATTAAAAACTCAAATCGGTGAAATGAATGAAATTCTATGTGAGTTGACAAGGATAAGTATGCAAAATCTGATAATATTGGGGTAATGGATCATGTTGATTCCTTCCCACTATTCCTTTTACATTTCCATTTCCGTTCCATGTGGCTTAACCTTATTTCAAAACCATCCACGTTTTTAAACTTTTGTCCTTTACAGCCTTTCACTGTTCACACTTCAACAATAATCCTAAAACCTTCTCTTATCCTTAATCCTAAAACTTTGATAGCGTCAATTTCGTTAGTTTAGTTAATTCA